TGCATGGCTGGAGTGTTGTGGGGATCGAACTACAGCAAACTGAGGCTGCCAGCATTGTGGAAGCAGCCACTTAAAGAACTGAGCTAGGGCTGGGCCCCCTCTGATAGCCTCTTCATGGCCAAAAAGTCCTTGTCTCTGGGTCTTTTACTCTCTGTCACAAGGTGCCCCCCGAATGGTAAGTGTGAATATTTCTGAGAGAGAAGGAGCTAACTGGGTTTAGGAAAAGAACAAACTGCAGCCTTGCAGATGGCTCAGCAGTCTAAGCACCCACCTGTCAAGTGCAAGGACCTGGGTTCGATCTTTAGCACCACATGCCTTGCCAGGCCCATGCTGGTCACTGAAACTGGGCGTGGTGGGAACATGCCTATAATCCCAGTGCTGGGGAGGCTGAAACAGGAGGGTCACTACAAGTCCAAGCTGCGTAGTGAGACCCTGTACCAAATATCTACGTTTTTTTAAAAAAAGAAAAGACAAACTGGGAAGGAGAGAGAAAAGGGTGTAGTTAGCCCAAGTTATCTACATAGGTAATAGCCTCCGAGATGGACACAGTGCCTGAAGCCCTATGCCTGGACCATGCTCCATCTTTGTGGAATAATAAATGTTTCAAGCCTGGATTCATTCCTGGCACCAAATGGGCACAGTTCTTGCTTTAAGGGCATATTTTCCTATGAAAGCAGACTAAAGACTATGTCCTGACAATCACAGATGAGGTCAAGGTCCACTTAGATGGCACAGATTAAAATGCCTGGGATTAAAATCAAAACACTGTCACAAGAGATGGGAGTAGAGAAGGTAAAATGACGCTTGCACGAGCTGGAGGTTGCGTGGAAGTCTGTGAATATCGTGAGCGCTCCAGTGTCCTCTGTTGTCTGCAGTTGGTTCGTGTTGACATCTCAGTTACCTTGCTCTGCAAAAAAACAGGCAAGGCAAACAACCTTTTCCTTATCCCATTATGAGATTTGTTTGTTGAATCTCTGTAAACAATGCTGCTAACTCCTTTTATGGTGGAAAGTTGAAAGGAGGAAGTACTCTGCTCACAGTCAAATAATGAGTCACAGACTAAGACCCAGAAAGGCTACTTCCTTACCCTGAACTCCTGCTGTTTCAACCCAACATGCCAGTTTTTTGCTGTATCTTCATGGAAACCCCACTTTCCACCTCTGTACCATTGTAAAAATACAATTAAAGGCACCCCAAGATTTGCCATCCTCTAAGTATACCTAGTAGTGACAGATAACAGAGAGTGCTGCTTGGCGTGTTGACTCTTTGTGGATCTGCTTGGCATGTGTTCCCTCACCAGGCAGTTGGGCGCCCTGGGCTTCCCGGATCCTCTTTAGAACCTCACCTAGAAGCATCGCAGCATCTCCCAGCACCCAAACACCTACCTAGTTCTGGAGGGGCTGATGAGCCCAGTGACCTGGAGGAGCTGGAGAAGTTTGCTAAGACCTTCAAGCAGAGACGCATCAAGCTGGGCTTCACACAGGTTTGGTTCAGGCAGAGGATAATGGAGGACACTGAGTGAATGGGTATTGAACTTCCCAAGTGGTGGGTGCAAGAGAAACCCAGGGCTCAACATGTTTGGAGAAAGCCCATCCTGTCCCTGAGTTCCCTGAGAACCGGGCACGGTGGCAGGGGAACTGGGATATTGCTGGTGGAGGGGAGAGGAATGAAGGCCAGGCAGGACACAGCCCACCCAGGCTAGGGAGAGAAATAAACCATTCTCCATCCTAGAGGGAAAAGAGTTGGAAAGGAGCTCAGATGGGTGCCTCAGCTGTAGGATAAATGTATGGTGTGAGCTAGGGTGGTGGGAGATGTGGGCAAAGAAGACAAACCTGCCCCTCATGCTCCTTGCTCTCCATCTCTTGCCCAGGGAGACGTAGGGCTGGCAATGGGAAAGCTGTACGGCAATGACTTCAGCCAGACCACCATCTCACGGTTTGAGGCCCTCAACTTGAGCTTTAAGAACATGTGCAAGCTCAAGCCCCTGCTGGAGAAGTGGCTGAATGACGCAGGTACGCCTCTGGGTGCGGGCAGGAGTGGCCCCAGGGATTCCATAAGGATTGTCCTAATGATTGGTCTATATTGGTGCTTTAGAGGGTCATGACATATTATCCCTTCCTCCTCCTGAGCCTAGAAAGGACTGAGAAATGAGACACAATAAAGGCAAGAAGAGGTAAAAATGTTGCCATTATTACTGAGAAAGACAGTCTTTTGAGGACTTAGTTTTTGGTCTGCAACCATGAAGACTTGGTCCCATTCTGTTCCATTGCTACCCCAAATCTACCTAGCCTAGACTACTCCCTAGAGATAAAATTTAGGTCTGCAGAGAAAACACATGTTCAAGGTTGCTGTCTGGAATAGGCCTAGGACAAGGAGATAGGACAGTAGGACTTGGGGTGGGGGGGTCACAAGCACAGCCCAGGGTATTGACCTGCCTAATTCTGCAGCAGGATTCAGTGCCCACCCAGGGACTGTGATCTAAACAAACTGGGAAAATCTTCTACCAGGAGTGGGGTTTGCAGGAGGATTAGGTCAGGATCCAGTCCTTCCAGGAGGCTAAAGTATAAACCGAGGTTTTGGAAGGTTGACTGGAAGAGCTTGGTATCAGAAGACAGGCATTGCAGGTTTTCTCAATCTTGGACATTTAGGGCCCAATAAAGTTTTGGGAGGGGGCTGGCCCCTGTGGGATGGTTACCAGCATCCTCAGTCTCAACCCATGAGTAGTACCTGCCCCCCACTTGAGACGTCCCAGTGTGTCTCCAGACATTGCCAAGTGTCCGTAGAAGGAAAGCTGATGGTGAAGAGTGTTGTCTCTGGTTGACAGCGCTTGGCCTACATGGAGAGAGAAGGGGCCAGAACCCAGGCCTGGATTCTGTTAAGTGGATGTGTATGGATTAGTGGTTGCTGGGGAAGGGACAGCAAGGCCAGGGTGGCAGCCAGCTGTGTGACCCTCATAGAAGTCCCTCCACTCAAAAGCATGGGAAGCAGTGAAGAATAGGCAGTCCCTGAGGATGTGCTGACCGAGCCACTAAAGTAAAAGAAATGATCAGAGGGTCCTGAGATCTTTGGAGAAGGGCCTTGTAGAATGCGTCTCATGGGACCCCTCCCCCTGACACCTCACCCCTTCTGAAGGCACATGCCTCTGCTCTGCACCTTAGCTCTGACACTTCCTCTGATGAACAAGGGGCTTCCACATCAACATTCCACCCCCAAGGCCAGTGCTTTGGGCTCCCAGAAGGCCATTTCTCCCCGTACTCGGGATTCACACGCAGGTGTGTTTATAAAAGACAGACTGGCGAGTGTCACTTGTAGGAGCCCTGCCTGTGCCCACTCACACCCACACATGCCGCCGA